AAACTTTAAAATCTCCATGACCTCAAACTTTAGACCCCAAAACCCTGGAAAAAGAGACTCTCCCCCAACAAAGACATGAGAAGAACAAACACGCCCCTGACCATCCTCGTACTTCTTTCGGGCCTTCTGCGCTTCAACATACCTGATTCCCACGAAGATCCAACAAATCGCCGGGTTCGTGAGCGTGGCAGTTCCTCTGGGAGTTGGCACATCGGACACCTATAGTTCGATAATATGCAAACCAGTGCAGATCGAGAAGAATGAGAAAAGAAGGACACTACCAGCTTCCCTAAACCCTAAAGCCTAAAGCCTGCTCTTCTTATCATGGAGCAAACGATGCTGTTCTTAGGCAAGGGAGGCCTGCTCAGAGGCCTGTACGGACGGTGGAAGTCGAACTGTACACGCACCCACAGCGCCCAGGAAAGCGCGTTCTAGACTTGTTGAGTTCAGATTTTTGGGGCAGCATGCCTCGGCGTGCTACCGCCCGTTGATAATGTCAGCACGGTCATTCTCTGCTTAGCAGAACAGACTCGGTGCACCTAACTAATGCTGGCCATGGAGGCTGGGCAACCATCATTAGGGACGATAACAGGGGTACTATAATCCCTACTAAGGACTGTTAGTACTTGCTTTCCTTTGATTTGCGAGGCTTGCGAGGTCTCAATGCCAGGAACAAGGGAGGAAGCCTCGATGGGAGTGCTTCCCTGACAAAGGGGGCTATATCAGGTACAGTTAACGTAATATGATGAAGTAGAACTGGAATAAGAAGATAAAGCATATCAAAAACACTAGACATGTTCATAGTACAAATATTAACTACATTGAGAACACTAACCATGTCAATGAGATTAAGAAGAATTAGTATTCATCATATTAAAAGCATTGATCACATTTATCACATTCATCATATTCATCATATTCCTCAGATTCATCATATTAATCAGATTAACCATATTCCGAATATGAACAAGACCAAAAAATTTTACTAATCTTGATACTTCTCAGAATATGAATAACATGAATAATATTAAGAATCTGATGAATATTCATAATGTAAGATTGTCCGAAACATACAGTACTACACTACGACATGTAGAAGTCTACTAATATACTAAGATAGTAATATACTAAGATGGTGATACTATTATCGGACAGTATAAACAATCTAATATGTACAAAGAATATGGTAATATACTAATCTGATAATGCCATAACAAAACAAGATTTATAAAGCTAACAAGGTACTAATATCAAAATTTAATGCTATACTAACATACTACTACAATGGTACAAAACTCTAAAAATATCGCTAATAACAGAGCAAAACGAAGAAAACATAGTACAAAAAGATAATAGAACAGTAACATGCTATACAAATATAGTCATATAAGAATATGCGAATATATTTATATAACAATACTAAATATTCCAATATAACAATATAACAATATCTTCGTGTATTCATCTAACCAGGAAAAATAGAGCATTGAAAAAGTTGTAATCCTATAGAAGAATAGAATACTCGAATACACCAGTACTAGAACGACATAATATAAGAATATAATCATAATATGAAGACACGAGTAGAAAATGAATAACAGAAAACTAGAAAAATAGAACAATCGAAGAATCGAACATCAGAACCATAGAACAATAGAATCGAATAATCAACTAGTAGGATATTAAAGTACGTTGATAAAAATTGGAATAAATATTAATATAACAAGAGAAAATCGCATCACATAGAAATATGAAATAAACTCAGATAGTATTGTGCTGATATATTATAACGACCACAATATCGTAGTACACAATGACAATGACATGAAACACTGTACTCCTATTTGCTTAAGATCCCCAAAACTAGCAATTAAAAAAACAAAAAACAATAATCCCTATACTACCCTTAATCAGGAAGAATCTTTTCTATTCTTTTTGGGGTTCTTAAGCAATTAGTGGTGTATGGTCAGCCCCGGATGCCTCCTATAGGGGCCTCAGCAGCGGAGTCGGGTCCGCGCTCGCAGCGTCTCCGTGGAAACGGTTCAAGGTTTTTGGGCTGACAGGGCTCAGGGGTTTGGAGTTCATGAGGCCTAGGGTTTAGGGTTTAGGGTTTAGGGTTTAGGGTTGAGGGTTGAGGGTTGAGGGTTGAGGGTTTAGGGTTTAGGGCTTAGGGTTTAGGGTTTCGGGTTTAGGGTTTAGGGCTTATTCGATACTCCCTGCGTCATTTCCGCCTTGCGGAGTAGATGTCCTCGGGGCGGCAGTCCTTGAACCCAGGGGAGGTGCAAGATGCCAGCTTGTCGTGTCCGGCGCCTCCTCCAGCAACCTGGAAATCTCCAGCTTCAGCAAGCTGCCTGAGTTTAGGGTCATGATCGAAAGCCTCATTCCAACAAGTGCACAATACCCCAGACAGGGCCACGTCAATAGAGCAAGCCCCCACAAGCCAGCTTTGAGACACGCGCTGATCGGGTTGTTCTGGAGTTCAATGGTCCAACCTCGTCCTGGCACTGCAACAACAACCGCAGGCTGGGACAGGATGAGCAGCCACTGTATCCAACATTACCCAATGCACAAGCACACAACAGTGCTTCCATTGCAATGAAGTATGAGCGCAATAAGAATACTAACGTCAACAATCATAATCATAGTCGTTGCATAGACATAGTTAGAGGAACCCAGGAACACGGCCTTTGCGTGGATTCTTTCTCAGTACGGCAGCCAACTTCTTTGCTCCCTCGTCCTGTGAGGCAGGTGCTTTGACATTGGAGCATCGCACAGCAAAGTCAAGGTGCAACGTGCACAAGGAAAGAGGAGCCTCGCAGCCGATGCTGGCAAGGGCGAGCCTAAATGGCCCCTGCAAAGCAGGCGGCAGCAAGGCCAGGGTTAGGGCTCGCGGAGATCTTTGCGCAGCGGTTGTTGCGCGAGTTGGGCTTCAGCGTTCCGGGCCCATCGCGCCTGCTGCCAGAAGGGCATCTCGTCCGTGAGGAGATCCACCCCCTCCCTTCCAATGGACATGTTGCCCGACAAGTCGACGTGTCTCAAAGAAGAGATCCAAGCCCAGCCTGCCAGCATGCGCTTAGGGCTCAAGATGGTCGAAGGTTAATAGGGGCTTCGGGTTTTGGGAGGGGGGGGGGGTTCAACATGGCTTCGGGCTTAGGATTCAAGACTTTTTAAGGGGGGGAGATTAGGTTTTCTTTTTCTTTGCATATAGAGATATATATATATATGTATACATATATATATATGTATATATATATACCTTTTGTTAAGGGGGGGGGCGGCAAGATGGCGCAAGGTTGTGGGTTTAGGCCGTATGTATCCAACCATCTGGTTGTTCCGAGAAGCCTTCTGCCAGAGCCTGTGCCCCAGCTGGCCCGATGTTGTTTCCAGACAGAAGCAGCTCCTGCATGTGAGTAGCTGAGGGCACCGAACATTGAACCCTAAACCTAAACCCTAAACTCTACAGAAAGGACGCTGCAGGGAAAGGACACTACGGGCGCCTGTTTGCACATAAGGCTTGAGCCTCAGATTATCATGTCTGTTGCTCTTGGTACATGTCATGGTATTACAAGCATTTGGGTTGCTTTTAAGCAAGGGAAGGGTGGGGGAGGGGTGAGGGGAGAGGGGGGAGGGGTGGGGGGCCCCCGCCGCCCCCCCAGTTTCACGACGGCATCGTGCACCGTGCATCTCTACACCTTGAGAACGTCCCTTAAAATCCCAAAGGCTAATACCAGTACCATTCCCTATACATCCTTGTGCCAAATCCTAAACAACATGAAATCTTATTCCCTACATCTGTCCTTAATCTTTTCCTGCTCCCTAAACCCTAAAGAGGGGGTCTCTAAATCCCAAAATAAGCATCCAAGGCATCCTATTCTGAAATCACTAAATCCTAAAGAGTGGTCCCTAAAGGGAGGTTCCGTGAAAATCCCAAAGGCATCCTATTCCCTGCACCTTGTCGCTAGATCCTCAAGAGTGACTATAGGTCTTATTCCCTTAATCTGATTCACTAAGCCCTTCAGAGTGGAGTCCTGAAATCCTGCATCCTATCCCTAAAACTCCCAAACCATTTGGATTCAAAGAATCAAAATTGGATTCCTTAAATCTTGATAGGAGGGATCCCTAAATCTTGAAGAGAAGAGTTTGCTTTTTCATACCCTCCCCCCCCCACCCCCCAACACCCCCCCACCACCCCCCACCCCCCACCCCCCAACCCAAACGAGTAGAAACTACTGGTAGGGAAGAAGAGTTAAAGGAATACGATTTAGGGATCCCACTTTTTTAGGATGTCGCGAAAAGTATTTTTGGTAATGATTTAGCGGTGAGAACTTCGGGGCTCTCCCTTTAAGGCCCCCCTCTTTAGGATTCAGGGGCCCCCCTCTTTAGTCTTTAGGCTTCATGGACCAGGATTTGGGTACTTCCCAAAACCCCAAATAGAATAGAATCCCCTTCAAGGGACCCAAAAAGGGCGCCCCAATTTTCATAGACCCCCCATTTAATTTAGAGAATACGACACAAAAGGAAAAGACTCAGCGATCCCCCCTTGAGTTAGGACTTTAGGGCTTTTTTGCGAACAAGGTCTCCCCCCCCCCCCGCTTGAGGATTTTAGGCTTCAAGCAAGAGGAGGGGGGCATCCTGCGCTTTATGATATGATTTTGCGAAAGGGGTGGAGGGAAGAGGATTGAACTGTTTTATTGGCGAAGAGGATGTAGGAACTAAGATTGAGGGAATAAGACTTAGGAGAAGTAAGCCTATTGCTACGCCTCTTCCGGAGTAAAGGACCCCACTCTTTAGCGTTTAGGGAACAGGACTCAGGAAATAGGGTCTAGGAAAAATGCATATTGCTACGCCTCTCTAGGATTTAAGGACCCCACTCTTTAATTGTTCAGGGAATAGACTTCACGGAATTAAGGACTAAGATGAAGCTCAAAGCTTCAGGGACAAGCGTCTCGAAAGTTTACATTCATTTAACAGACAAGCGCCCAGCACCGAAGCCCTAAACCCCCTGAACCCTAAACCCTAAACCCTAAACCCTAAACCCCTCAACTCCTAAACCCTAAACCGTAGACTCCTAAACCCAGCTGCCTGCAGTGTTGCTGCATCCCGGAGCTTTCTTCCGAGGGCGAGCGTTGCCGCCTGGCCCACGGCAAACCGTACAAAGCACACGACTTCACGTGCTTCACATGGTCAGCTTAGGGTGGTTTGGGGTCTAGGGTTTAGGGTGTAGGGTTTAGGGTTTATAGGGTTTAGGGTTTAGGGTTTAGGGTTTAGGGTTTAGGGTTTAGGGTTTAGGGTTTAGGGTTTAGGGTTTAGGGTTTAGGGTTGGTCTTTTTGGGTGCCCTAAAGAGTTTTGGGTCGCCTTAGAATAAAGATCCCAAGATAGACCATACTTTTGAGAAGCGACCATGTAGCTGTCTTAAGTACTATGATTCTTGCATAAGAACTGCCTCAGACCGGTGCTGGTTTTGGGCACAACTTACTGTTGGTTAGTAGGAAATGAGGGAATGAGGTACCCTATATAATCCCTGAAAGGGTAGAAAAAGGGACATAGGGTACCTCATTCCCTCATTCCCTACTAACTTTTGCTCGGCCGACAGTGGAGTCCGCAGCATGGACAAATCGAAGTCTGGCGTGCATAAACACCTAGGTGCCGTGGCTAGCCACGGCGCAGTTGACACCGCGTTGCTGAGCTGCCGAGTAGAACGAAGCCAGCGGCAGAATCGCTGAAGCCAGCGGCAGAATCGCTGTGCACCGATCCCCCATGTCTCCCCCCCCCCCCCCCCTGCCCCCCGCCCCGGGAGGAGGTGCGCCGATACGCTGTTCGGCCCCCAGACGGTATAACACAGTGTCGACAAGCCGATCGGGGGGTCACCCTGGAAGGGATCTACACCCCAAGGCCGATACGCGGACACGCCGTCACCCTGAAACAAGAAGAAATTCTGCAACTCGAATCTCATCGCAAGTTTACTTTGCCTCGCCCAGCTCTGCTTGTCGGAGGTCCTTAGCTGAAACAATCGAAGCAGGGTTCCGGTCTTTCTTAACTATCATTGCGGCCAGTGACTGCAAGGGTCTTCACAAATTCCCGTGAGCTGTTGGTGCTCTTTACGGATTGGAGGTGGTGATGTTGGCAACTGCTCTTCGAAATCCAATCCAGCCCAACGTCCAACAAGCAAAGAGGTTGCCTTAGAACACCAACTTCTCGAACATGCTACCCCTAAACCCATGTTCCACAGTAACAACCTTGCAGTCACTTGTGCAATGCTTGCCTCAAGCAGCTCCCCCAGAGTTCCCAAACCCCAGGCCCTAGTACTCTGAGAGCGGATGTAGCAGTAACACCTGGCATCCTCGGGAGTTCTTACTAGGATATGGCACGATGGTATAGGAAACAAGGACCCCCACCAAAAGGGACCCTCATGAACCACACATGGCCGACTGCGGCCGTAGCGCAAGGATGCGGAGGCTTCGGCCGAGGCCATTGGCCAGCTGCTCCCCCTCGGGTGCTCGGAGAAACTAGGACTTCAGGGTTTAGGGTTTCGAGCTTAAACCCTTTGAGCATTGCAAGAAGAAAGCAGCATAGCAAGACTCATCTAAAGGGCCTCGAGCTTAAACCGTGGGCATTGCAAGAATAAAGCAGAACAAGAAGACTCGTCTGAGATGAGATGCCCCGGCATCACCCAAGGGGTTGCATCCAAGTCGAGCCACCTCCATGTATCCGATGACGGGCACCTTGTTTCCAAAAACGGCTGCAGCTGCAGCAGTCGTGGGTTCCTTTTCGTGATTGCAGTGCACTGGCGCTAAGACAGGTGCCAAGGCTTTGCAGCCTTCTAAGCCTTGCGCAGGGGCATCTGCATCGCTGGGACTCCTCTTGCTGAAAGGTGCGTTCTCAGATATGTCAGGTGGCCGATCTTGTTCGTGCGCAAATCCCAGACGTTGAGACGGTTCGGCGCACCGATGGCTTCTGGATCAAGAGCCTTCCGACATGAAGACATAACCCTAAACCCTAAACCCTAAACCCTAAACATGAAGCCAGCACCAGGTTCAGAGCATCATGAACATACTAGCAAAGGCGCCTTTGCCAGAAGCTTGCAGGATGCGTCACCGAGCTGGTTGTGTCTGAATCCCCAGCTGCCTTGGATGACGCCCTGCACGGAACACCAAGCTCGAGTCGCAAAGCAGAAACAGAGTTGAACGAGCGCGAAGAACCAAAAGTGCCTAAAACACCCCCTCTTTGAATACTCCCAAAATCTCAAAGCCCCGATCTTAAAGGCTCCTCGATTCAGCGAAGTTTTGGGGCCCCTTGGCATTGAGCCCTTAAACCCTAAACCCTAAAACCCTAAACCCTAAACCCTAAACCCTAAACCCTAAACCCTAAACCCTAAATTGGATGCTGGAGATGTTGCGAATGCGACTGCCGGTGTCCTTGCCCAGGCTGAGCAGTGAAGCGAAGCCCACCTCAGCATCCAATTTAGGGTTTAGGGTTTAGGGTTTAGGGTTTAGGGTTTAGGGTTTTAGGGTTTAGGGTTTAGGGTTTAGGGTTTAGGGTTTAGGGTTTAGGGTTTAGGGTTTTAGGGTTTAGGGTTTAGGGTTTAGGGTTTAGGGTGTTAGGGTTTAGGGTTTAGGGTTTAGGGTTTAGGGTTTTAGGGTTTAGGGTTTAGGGTTTAGGGCTTAATGCCAAGCCCTTCAAAGTCTGGGCTCAGGATTTAAGGTTAGGACGCAGACCTACCCAGATGCATGAAGGACTGGCACACCAGCTCGCAACGTGTGCCTCCGTGATGTAGTTCAGCTCCAGCGTCAGCACTTCCAGGCGAACTGGGCGCTTCCTTGTGAGGGCTGCCTCGGACGTCTTGATTTTGCTGCCCGAAGCCCTTGTTGGCCGAGCCTTTCACCCGAACCCTAAACCCTTTCAAGCTCCAAGAGCCTCTGGCAGCTGGGTGAGTATTCGGAGGGGGGGGGGGCGGGGCTAGGGTGTTCTAGGGTTTCAGGGCGGGGAGGGGGGGAGGGTTCAGGGGTCCAACGGCGTGCGAGATGCGGCCAAGTTGTGAGCGCCCGCGTCAGTGAGCCCATTGTGCGACAGATCCAGGATCTGGAGGTGTTGGATGGGCAGGCTCTGCGCGAGATAGCCCGCCCCTGGGTCGAGCTTCTCCCAGCTCGCAGCATGGATGTTCACTTCCAGAAGACTTGCGGCGCTTGCGAGCCACTTCGAGAAGGACACGACATCCATGCCTGAAAAAAGGTGGAGAAAAACAGGTGTCCTACACCGAAGCCCACCCTGCTTGCAAGTCACTCCTACATCACGTAAACCCTAAACCCTAAACCCGAAGCCCCGAAGCCCTAAACCACGCGGGACAAGTCCCTGCCTGAGGTACCTTTTTGAACCGCCGAGCGTAGTGATGGATCTATCAGCAGCGATCTTGTCGTTTGCGGCCAGATATGATGCGTGGCCTCATGTACTACATGGGTTTCGGACATAGCGTTCACGGGTTAAGATGATTCGCTGCTTTGGCTTGTGAGGGCAAGGAACTTGTAGAGAATACTTTCTGTCCTTCCTTTCTGCACTTTGCACGTCTGTCTCTGTGTGCTGAGAGGGGGGGAACTTCCAAAATGCAGGGCACAGAAATTTTGGACTACGACGTCTGCACGCATGTCATGACTCGTGAACATTAAGGTGGCAAACAGGCCATACGTACACTGCACAACGAACTGAGGCGAGATGTGTGGAAGCAGCAACCCAAAGCAGTCGAGATCTCTAGACAAGTGCTCCTCGGAAAAATCGGAGAAGAGAGGGTCGGGAACCAAGACATAGCAAGAGCAAAGACAGAACAACGTCTGTGAATGTGGGGAGTGTTTCAAGACAGGCTCCATTTTTTGGGAGGTCTTTTGCTTTCTGTTTGACAACAGACCCTTTGGGCTGATTTTTCAGAGCAACCCGCAGCCCCACGCATGCAGCGCGCGGTTCAGGCAAGTCGCGGAGCGCACCGTGGCAGCCTTCACGTGAGGGGCTCTCAGCTTGCACTCCACCCAGCAATGCCGAGCTGCTGCTGTGCAGCAAGCTGAGACTGAAGTGACCTCAGCCAGCTCTTGGAAAATACTGGATCCATTCCGGGTAAAGGTGAGACCCCCCCCCCCATACAGTCGGGATGTACCCAGGACAGGGAACATGATCTGGAAAACTGGCCTAGCGGCTCTTGCGGCTTAGGCCTTTTAAGTGTTCAGGGAGCCAGGCGTACCACACGCCCTCAGGCGCGCGTTCCATGACACACAGCATCACTGAATCACACAGCTGTCATGTCTAGAGGCATGTCTCGCTTCCAGGAACTCGAAGATTCGCAGAACCGTGCCGCACGCGGTTTCGCGGTGGCTGAGATAACTCGAGGCAGTGTGCAGGTTCCTGTCGAGAACCTTGCAGCTGCTCTTCTGTCGCTCTGTGGGACTGCAGAAAGTCATGCTAAGCATGCCGCTGCCAAGCCATATCCCATACGATGTCGCCTCAGCGCTGTGGCAAGCAGAACACCCGACAGGCATGAGAGATGCAAAGTTCTGCTCAGGGCTCGTACGCAATCTCTGCCCTTTTGTCATAGCTAGCCCGCACAGAATGGACGGCCTCACAAAGCACCCAATAAAGCTGCAACGATGTTGCACTGACCAAGGCTTTTAAGGGCTCCCTTCTCCTGCCTTTTCGAGCTTGCCCACGTGCTTTGCAAGCATCTTGATGCGACAGGATCGAAGCTGAACCATGATGGAATCTAAGGAAATCTCGTGCTCTTCTGGCCAATCACATCGGCATAGCGGACAGCACAAGCGGCGCCGCGTCTCGGCTTGAAGGTTCTGCATGGCGGTTTCCAGCATGGCAACCGCCTTGAAGCCAGTGCCCATCTCACCTGAAGCCAGCGTGGGCCAGAGAGGGGCAAGCTCTCCCTAAACCCTAGACCCCAAACCCTAAACCCTAAACCCGAAATCTCTGAACCCCTCAGAGCAGCCCTAAGGACCCCCTTGGGCCCGTGGAGCTTCTGCAGCCACGCCGCGGGCTTGCTGCTTCAGCAGCGGCCCGGGGCTGTCATCAGACAGAGGGATGGCCAGGATGCTGCCCAAGAAGTGGAGCATGCAGGGGTAGTGCAGCCTGACGCACGCGGCAGCTTCGCTTCCCCTAAAAAAATCCGGACAGAGGGCTTTGGAATCCAAAGCCCTGAATCCGAAAAGGCTCTGAATGCAAGACCCTAAACCCTGCGAAGCCTCAACTCTAAACTCCAAACTGCAAGAGGCTTGTTTTCAAATAAGGTCACTGTTACTTGGGGCGAGGCGGGGGGGCCTAAAGCCGAACCCTAAACACCCTAAACCCAAACCCGCATCGCAACAGGCAGCCTGTGGCCCTGGCCACACGGGTAGCTAAAGCTGCAATCGTCCTGAGCAAACTCTTGAGGGACTTTATGGGAACAACCACAATGGACTTGCTTGTACGTCAGGCTTGCGCATTTGAGTCATGCTTCGGCTTGCAGGGCGAACCCAGAGCCAGTGCAGCGCTGCTTGCGGCCGGGGGGCAAGTCCCTCTAAACAAATGGCACAGACCTCTTGATTGTGCTCCGCATGGTCAACCTGATAGCGTGTTGAAAGCCATGGGAGCGGGTCTGCATTGCTTAAACGGATGGAACCTGACCCATGGCCAACGGGCTCCACTGAGCGCACCACCGCATCAGCTTTGGACGCAACATCATCCGTGGGAGGTTCCTCCACCTCTGCAACGACCTGCATTCATCACTTTCCAGAGTCTTCGCCCCCGGGGCGACATCTCTCACCCGGTGCCTGAACAGGAGGTGGGCGCGGCTGCGAGAGCCGCGATAGATCTCCGAGGGTTGGGGATCTCCTTGTAACAAAGTCAAACCACAGCTGAAGCAGAACTGCTTGTTTAGCAACCCAACCAATTCGCTCGGCAGGTCAAAGAAGTAGCAGCAGCTCCTCGTCCCGAAACCCCGGCTGGACCGCAGCGTTTGCTTCGCAGACTGAGCTCGGACAGGGGGCCTCCGCGAGACGATCCCACACTGGGGTTCCATGCCCCCTGCGCAAAGATGCACCAGGGTTGAGGGTTTAGGGTTTAGGGTTTTGGGTTTGGGGGTTTGGGGTTTGGGGTTTAGGGTTTCGCAACCCCTGAAGCCTTGCAACCATCGCCAGACTTGTCTTCTATAACCCGGGGTTCTGTAGTGAAACATCTGACGAAGCTTATTTAAAGACCCGTTCGAAGTCGCTGAGCCGTTAACCCTCAACCCTGACCATGTCGGCTGAGGCCGGCACAACCGCCTTGCAGACATCTCACCAGGCCATGACCTCGTGGGGGCACTCAATTCTACGGGTTGTTACATGGTCCCTTAGTATGCGCCCTTAAAAGGGTACCCCTTACACCAACCTTATATACCCCACACAAATGAAGGGGGCGCACGTCAGAACCCGTTAAAGGAGGTTAGGGACCATAGTAAGGGACCATGAAGCTACCCTCAGAAACTTGCCACCCCCTGTTCCTAGTAACCCTTGCCCCTGGCAATAATAGACCCACCAGAACAGGACGTGCTAGGCATCAACAGTCACGATACAGATAGTTAATATGTTCATGAGAATAGAAGAACAGCAACAAACAAATAGAGATTGCAAAACAATAACAACGTCAAGAATAATAGTAGCAACAGCAATGCAATTGCAAAACGATAACACGATGAGGATATACCGTGCAATCACAATACTAGCTAGCAACATGCAGGAGCATTCAGGGGCTGTTTTGGGTGGGGTTTTTCATGTAGGCATTTCCCAAAGAGATGGGGTAATTGCCCCTCCTATACACTGGAAAGCCCAATATTAGACAAAATGAAGCCTGAGCTCCAGACGCAGGAGCCGCCTATGAAAGCCACAACGACTCAGCCGGAAAAAGTAACGAAGCGCTGAGCCACCACGACTGCAGGCAGCTTACAAAGCGACGCGGTACAGCTCTGACAAAACGTTTGGGACGTTCCCCCTTATACTAACAGTCCTTAGTAGGGATCATATTACCCGCTATGAGAATCCCTTTTAAGGACTGTTAGTCTAAGGGTGAACATCCCAGCTGATGGTGTGAATGGCTTGGCACGCACTCGGCGAGCAAGACACGCCACCGGCACGGCGCACTCCCCGTTGGATTCACATTGCTTCTTGTAGGCATTGAGCCGCTTCAACCTCGCATGCGACATGGCCCCGCGATGAAAACAATCACCGTCCAGCTCGAAGGTGCCGCATCCAACTGGCTTGGAAGGTATGTGACATACGCCTGGCTTAGGGTGAAGCAGAGTCAGTGGTGTCGTGGTCTCGCCGTCTGGTTCACGGTCCTGGCTCTCCTCGACCTATCAGAGAACGCTTCCTGCAAAAAGTGGCAGCATTCACCTAGGACGCCTTATCCGGCCGTCTGAGCTCCCGTGCTCTCTTCAGAGTCTGAACAACTTCCTCGAAGGTGGTGAGCTCCACAGCGCCACTGCCTGCTGCTACACGGGGGGTTTACGATCTTGTTTTAGGGGTACCTTATTGGGGTCCGTACTAAGGGTTTAGGGTTTAGGGTTTAGGGTTCAGGGTTCAGGGTTCAGGGTTCAGGGTTTAGGGTTTAGGGGTATCCTTTTGGAGTCCAGGTTACAAGGGAATTTTACTGTTTGGGGGTTTGTACTAGGGGGTCCCTCATTCTCGTACGTCCCCACAATAACACACCAGAGAAACAGGGTCATCCATCATGACTAGGAGGCTCATGGGTAGGTGTAAGTAGGGCTGCTGAAGCACCCGTATAGCCACTGAAGCACCCCTATAACCCTACTTATAGAAAAAACCCATGAACTTCCAAGCAGCGCATATACACCCATCATCGCCATCATCGTCATGCCAAGGCCCCCACCACTGAGCTGCCGAGCCACCTGTCCAAAAGTGGGCACTGTAGGGAAGAAATCAAACGCAGACCGCGCAACTTGCAAGATCACGGTTTAAGGTCCAGGAAGTATAGGGATGACCCAGAAAAGAGGGGCAGAACATCAAACGATCCCCGAAATTGGCATCTGGTGCGCCTCCCTGCCCACTTGTAGGTCTCGGCCCAGGTTCACGATCAGATCTGGGATCCTCTCGACTCGGACCTTCTCAAGGGAATGTCCATACAAGCTTAGGCGCTTCGTCTCTCGCGAAGTACCCCCCTTGAGGTACACTTTAGAGGCCCTTGTTCAAGGGTACTTGGGGAGGGGGAGGGGAGGGGCCCAGGTCGGGTTTAACTTCTTTTGGGGGGCTACCCTAAACCTTAAACCCGAAGGTACCTTGCCGGAGCCGTTGTGGTCATACTCAGCGAAGATCTGCTGAATGCTACTGATTTGGCCCTGGTACCTGGCGATCACTCAGCGGTCAAACTCGACTCTGCGGCCCTTCCTTATCATGCATCCGGATCTGAGGCACGAACATGCAGCAGCAATACACAAGCCACAAGCTACCAACAACCAGCAGAATCGCAGCTCCAACATTGTAACTTTGACGCAACTTCGTCTGCAAGGGAAGGTTCCACGTAACACGTCCAGCGCACTCGTCGTCCGGAGCAGGGCCGCCTTTCTGCCCTGTGTCCGCACTGGCTCCACCTTCACACCACGGGGGCACGCTCGTCGGTGAGATGGCTGCAACGTGCTGCTGCTTATCTCTGACCCCTTCTCATCTCCCGAAATCGACACCCGGGCTCCCAGCTCATTGCCCGGAGGACGGAAGGCCGCGGCCTAGGAATCAATGAGGCCATGAGGCCTACAAGTTCTTTGGGACCCTTAGCGTCGGCTTCAGCTTCACCCACTTTGGGTAGGCCGTGCTGGGGATGCCGTGTAGGGAACTTGTAGCATCTTGTTTTCTGATGCCACCTTTTATATCCGCCGACCCCTAGGGGGGCGGCGTCAGTGAAGACCCATTGCCCCTACCACCTACTCCACCCCATCCAAAGCTCGACCAACCCCCAGTGCATGCCCGCCCGCTTGCCCTACCCCCACCACCCACGCACCCCCCCCCCGCTCCTTCCCTTGCCCAAGCCCCCCACGCACCCCGCCATGCTTCTCATGGACCCATGCCTCCTCCCAGTGCATGCCCGCCCGCTTGCCCTACCCCACGCATCCGCCCTTCCCGCTCCGCATACTCCTTCCCTTGCCCAAGCCCCCCACGCACCCCCCGGCCCCCAGTGCATGCCCGCCCGCTTGCCCTACCCGCACCACCCACGCACCCCGCCCCCCGTCCATCCGCCCTTCCCGCTCCGCATACTCCCCCCCTTGCCCAAGCCCCCCACGCACCCCGCCATGCTTCTCATGGACGCATACTTCTCATGGACCCATGGCTCCTGGTCCCATTCTTCATCCCTCCTATTTATGGCCCCTGCTCCACCCCCACCCCCACCCCGCACGCACCCTGCCCCGCCGCCCATGCTTGTCATGGACCCAGGGCTCCTGGCCCCATGGCTCCACCCCCCCCCCACACCCCACCCCCACCCCCCCCCCAACCCCTTTCCACACTTCCGGTTGGCTCCACCCCCACCCCCAACCCCCACCCCCACCCCCACCCCCAACCGCCCCCACCCCCACCCCCCACACACCCCGCCCCCCACTGGACCCATGGCTCATGGCCATGCTCCCACTCTCCATCGCTTGGCCCGCTTGCTCTACCCCCACCACCCACGCACCACCGTTCCCCCCCCCGCTCTCCCCTTGCCCAAGCCCCCCACACACCCCGCCATGCTTCTCATGGACCCATGGCTCCTGGTCCCATTCTTTTCCCTCATGGACCCATGCTTCATCCCTCGACCTGCATGGCTGGCAATGCTGGTCAAAAAAATGGCCCCTGCTCCACCCCCACCCCCAACCCCAACCCCCACCCCGCACGCACCCTGCCACCCCCAACCACACTTCCAACCCCCACCCCCACCCGCGCCGCCCGTGCTTGTCATGGCCCCTTGCTCCTGGCGTCATGGCTCCACCCCCACCCCCAACCCCCAGCCCCCACGCACCCCGCGCCCCCACTGGACCCATGGCTCCTGGCCCCATTGGCTCCTGGTCCCATTCTTCATCCCTCGACCTGCATGGCTGCCGGTGCTGGTCCTCAGATGGCCCCTGCTCCACCCCAACCCCCAACCCCCACCCCCATACCCTGCCACCCCCACCCCCAACCCCCACCCCACCCACTTCCAACCCCCACCCCCACCCCCCACGCACCCCGCCCCCCACTGAACCCATGGCTCCTGGCCCCATTGGCTCATGGTCCACGGCCCATGCATGTGGCTTCTCAGCTGACTTTAAAGGGCCCCAGTGCATGCCCGGGCCCTCCTGCTCCGCCCCCTCCGCCCTCCGCCCCGCCTACTCCCCTCGGGCCCATGCTCCCACTCTCCATCCCCCTGACCTACACCACCTCTACCCTTCCCGCTCTGCATACTCCCCCCCTTGCCCCATGCACCCCGCTACTGGACCCATGGCTTGTGGCCCCATTGGCTGCTGGTCCCATTCTTCATCCCTCGACCTGCATGGCTGCCAATGCTGGTCCTATATATGGCCCCTGCTCCACCCCAACCCCCAACCCCCACCCCCATACCGTACGCAATTTGCCACCCCCAACCCCCAACCCCCACCCCCACCCACCCCGCCCCCCACTGAACCCATGGCTCCTGGCCCCGTTGGCTCATGGTCGACGGCGCATGGATGTGGCTTCTCAGCTGACTTTCAAGGGCCCCAGTGCATGCCCGGGCCCTCCGCCCGCTCCGCCCGCTCCGCCCCCTCCGCCCTCCGCCCTTCCAGCTCCGCCAACTCCCCTCTGGCCCATGCTCCCACTCTCCATCCCCTTGACCTACCCCTCATGGACCCAGCTCCCTACCCCTTACCCCTCACGCACCCATGCCCCTCATGGACCCATGGCTCCTGGCCCCATAACTCCCCATTCATTATGGTCCACGGCCCTCCACCCTACTCCCCCCTTGGCCCATGCTCCCACTCCACCCGCTTGGCCCGCTTGCTCTACCCCCACCACCCACGCACAACCCCCACCCCCACCCCCCCACACACCCCGCCCCTCACTGGACCCATGGCTCCTGGCCCCATTGGCTCATGGTCATGTGGCTTCTCAGCTGACTTTACGGGCCCCAGCGCATGCCCGGGCCCTCCGCCCGCTCCGCCCTCCGCCCTTCCAGCTCCGCCTACTCCACTCTGGCTCATGCTCCCACTCTCCATTCTCTTGACCTACCCCTCATGGACCCAGCTCCCTACCCCTTACCCCTCACGCACCCTGCCCTGCCGCCCATACCCCTCATGGACCCATGCTCCTGGCCCCATGGCTCCCAGCCCAAGCAGGTGGCTTCTGCGCCCCTACCCCCACCACCCACGCACCCCGCCCCCGCCCATCCGCCCCGCTCCGCACACTCTCCCCCTTGCCCAAGCCCCCCACGCACCCCGCCATGCTTCTCATGGAATCATGGCTCCTGGTCCCCTTCTTCATCTCTTGAGCACCGCACCCCATTGGCTCCTGGTCCCATTCTTCATCCCTCGACCTGCATGGCTGCCAATGCTGGTCCTATATATGGCCCCTGCTCCACCCCAACCCCCATACCGTATGCACCTGCCACCCCCAACCCCCAACCCCCACCCCCACCCACCCCCACCCCCCACGCACCCCGCCCCCCACTGGACCCATGGCTCCTGGCTTCTCAGCTGACTTTAAAGGGCTCCAGTACATGCCCAGGCCCTCCACCCGCTCCGCCCCCTCCGCCCTTCCAGCTCCGCCCTACTCTCTGGCCCATGCTCCCACTCTCCATCCCCTTGACCTACCCCTCATGGACCCAGCTCCCTACCCCTTACCCCTCGCGCACCCTGCCCCGCCGCCCATGCCCCTCATGGCTCCTGGCCCCATGGCTCCCCATTGGTTATGGTCCACGGCCCAAGCAGGTGGCTTCTCCGCCCCTACCCCCACCACCCACGCACCCGCCCCCCGCCCCATGGCTCCTGGTCCCATTCTTCATCCCTTGAGCTGCATGGCTGCCAAGCTGGTTCTTTTTCTGGCCCCTGCTACCCCCACCCCCAACCCCGCCCCGCCGCCCATGCGTGTCATGGGCCCCTTGCTCCTGGCCCCATGGCTCCACCCCCAACCCCCACCCCCACACACCCCACCCTTTCCACACTTCCAAGCCCCACCCCCACCCCCCACGCACCCCGCCCCCCCACTGGACCCATGGCTCCTGGCCCCATTGGCTCATGGTCCACGGCCCATGGATGTGGCTTCTCAGCTGACTTTAGGGCCCCAGTGCATGCCTGCCCCCAGAATTTTTGGGAAGTGGCGAATGTCCACGAGCTTGGATTGCTTGCCAGAACCCTAAACCCTGAACTCTAGGCCTTGCAAGGTCTCGACTGCCTCAACCCTCCATTATCCCCGAAAATCTGCAAACCCTCCTCCTCGGCATCCCAAACCCTGACTGGGCGGCCCGGCGCTTCTCCGCCGCCACGGCGGTTTAGGGGTTCGGGTTTGTGGTTTCGAGTTTGGGGTGTACGTCGAGGCCTCAGGTTCAAGTCTCCTGGTTACGGGGGTTTAGGGTTTGGGGGTTTGGGGTTTCAGGGTTGCGGGTTTCGGGTTTGCGGTTTGCGGTTTTAGATTTGGGGTTTAGCCCCAACTCCCTGCGCATCAGGGCTCCATGTTTCGCCCCCCTGAACTCTACAACCTGACCAAGCCCTGCGCATATATCTATCTATCTATATATATATATATATATATATATATATATATACCTAATCCGCGGCCGGAGCCCACAGTGCCTTGGCCCCCCTTGGAGGGGGTCGGCGGCACTGGCGGTAGCCATTAAATATATATATATATATATATATATATAGATATCTATCTATCTATCTATACATGTAGCATCTTTGGGCTTCACCATCAACTCAAAGGCTCGGCCTTACGCTGAGCTCGGATGCCCAGAATGCCTCAAGTGTCTCAGGCCAGAGCCCTCACGCTCGTCCTGAACCCCCCCGGCCACCCGGTGCCTTCTGCGCCCAGCAAGCCAAACAGCAGCGAAGGGGTCCGTTGGTTTGTTTTGCAGACTTCCACGCGACCGTGCACAAGAGCAGTCCCAGCTGTGCTAGACTGCTAGAATCACTCACGCCCTTTCTTCGCGCTGGCGCGTCCGCATGAACACGCATTGTCCAAACCCATCGCCACTACATCTCTGTCCCGCACACACTGTACAGAGAGTGCGATCCAAAACTTGCCTGTGTTGCAAGTTGCTGGATGAACGAGTCAACTGCGAGGATCTAGGCTTCAACTCGCTGAGAAGCGGCAGCATGCAAGGGTGTGCTTGCCATGCTCACGACCTTGGGGGCATCACATCCTACCCCGAAAGTCCAGGGTAAAGCCAAAGCTCTGAGCACAAGGCCCAGGGAAAAGGTCGCAGTCAATCCGTTTTGCCAGCACCTCGAATGTGGCACCCGGCTTTGGAAGATGAGTAGGAACTCTCCGAAGCACTGCAACGCAAGATCGAAAGTGCCTGGTGAACCTGCTATGAACTCCCTTCGTCGGAAGCTGTTCTCTTTCCAGCCTACGACGGCTTCTTGGGCGATTAAACCCTAAACCCTAAACCCTAAACCCGGAGACCCTCTGAGGATGTGGCCATTGGGCATAGGCTCGCTTGGCATCTGGCCCAGATGATGCCAATGAGTGCGCAAGAAAAGTAAGTGTGCAAGGTCGACATCCACCGACTGGTGGCCTACGTCAACTCAGGGTCCCCTTCTAGATACCAAAAAGGAATGCATAAAACGACTCATACATGGTGATATAAGATTATAAACCTTAAAAGGGCATAATCACATAATGGTATAATAACATAATTATGTAGCCATATAGAAACTAAATATTATACAAATATTGTAAAATAGTAGTACAGCAGCAGAATACTGATAGACTAGTACAATAATATACTAATGCAAGAATACATTAAACAGTTATGCAGACTGTAGTAAAACAATATAACAATATAGCAATATAGCAAATATAACAACATAACAATATCGTACTAGAACAATATCATAATACTCCTTAAACTGAGTGTATTGGGGTCTCTGGGAACAAAGCCCCCCGTCCCCCGCCCAAAGGAGGACTCTGAGACTTGCACCTCAGCGGGCGTACTCGCTGATCCCAAGGCCTCCAGACAGGCGGAGCATGGCGGAGCCCTCTCTCCAGCGTGACTTGGTGCGGTTCAGGGTATTTAGGGTTTAGGGTTTGGGGCTTGGGGTTTGTTTAGGGTGTCCCTCTCCGGGTGCCCCAACAATCAGGCCAGGCCATGCCAGGCCCGTACCACAGGAACCCCACACGGAAGCAGACCAAAGACAAGCTCAGAGATGCTTAGAAGCAACAGCCGTCTGGAGCCTGCATGAGCTTGGGGTAAAGCTGCTTGTCGACCATCTGGTACGCGTCCTGCCAGCTCGTGTGAGGCAAACGTAGGTGCATCGGCCCTGCATCACAAGCCCGAGCCACAACCATGTGGGAGCCCTTTTAACTTTCTACGCGCGCAGCATGGCTTCAGCCAGTTTGCGCAACTCGCCAAGCCCAGGAGATCGTTCCTGGCAGGGGTCCCCAAACATGAGTGCGTGGGTCGCGGCGTTTTGCATCTCGAGCCTCGAAGGGCACTTCCCAACGGGCAACTACCCATAAGGTACCAACTAAGCACAGGAGTCAAACGGTTAGAACTTCAAGAGATGCCCTTGATAGGCTGCGCATGCTGCAGAGATCATGTCGCACTGGGCTGTCAGCCGTATATGGAAATCCGACCTTGTCTTGCCACATAACCATATTTTCAACCTATCATGAGTAAACGGAAGGTTTTAATAGCAGCCGAGTTAACGCAACACTTACCCTCGAGTCGACAGAGAATGAGTAGGAGGTGACAAATTTAGGTGAGGTGGCACCCATCTGTGCAAAGGACATGCTGCTGTCATGGATCTACACAGGTCCTCCATGGCCGGCAGCGAAACGGTTGGAATACCAGAGAGCCACGGGGGCACGATATTGTCCGGGAAGCCAATGAGCACTGCACAAATCGGACTCAGGCGGTCCACGAGCCGTTGGGCAGCACGCTCGCCCGGGCCTGGCCAATGCACCACGAGCAGCACGCCTGTGTCTGCCTCCGCCAGTGCGGCCATGTCCTGGCGCAGCTGCCTTAGGCCGGTGACCTGGGCTTTTGGCACAAAGACCATGCTGACATGTGTCCCTGGTGTCCCTGGCAGGGCACGCTTTCTGCTCGAACCCCGATTTCCGGAAGGCTATGTGAGCGCTCACAAATGCAGACTGACTGGGCCAACTATCATCAAACAATCTGTTGACTTCCACGAGAAATCGGCTCTCTTGACTTGCTGGAAAAGTACAGTGGTCCATGTTTCGAGGAGTCGCATTTTAAGGCTATGGTCTCTAGGGAGATCAGCGGGAGCAGATGCAGCTGTCGAACACGACACCATGATGCACTGGTGCCTCCAAGCCACAGTGGCCTTGAAGGCATCCCGCCAATCCTCACGGTCGTCAGCAGAGGCGCCGATAAGCATCTGAAGGCCTGATGTGACCGCGGAAGGCACTGCGGCTTGCTTTGCAGCCCTTACCAAGTCCTGCAGGCGGAGAACTCCACCGAGGCCTTCTGCCACAGCCGGGGGCACACTTTGCAGTTGCACTGCCAACGCAGGTGCCCCTGCATCCACCACAGCGTGCATCGACTCAAAGGGGCTGGCAGGGTTCTCAGGGTTTTCGGGATTTTGGGGCGACGTCCTTCGCAGCAGCTGGGCAAGGGCCACGGGCATCTCTGCTCCCGGAGGTGGCTGGACACAGTCCAGGACGCCCATCAGCTCTTGCATCGGCATGCCCATTGCCGCAACAAGCCGGGCCCCCGTGCCGTCCTCGAGGAGTGCCCGCCAGCGCTTTGCGGCCAGAAGGCGCTCCAGGAACTCCCGGGTGGTGGAGGCGCAGAGCTGCGCCGCGGCGACGGAGGCTTGGCAAGAGGCGCCTTCCCGGCAGACTGCAGCCTCCAGCCACAGCAAGCTCTTCCCATCACTGGGCAGCTCGTGCCTAAGGGACTTGGCGTCCAATGGTTGACCCTTTAAGGGAACTGTGGTACATAACAAAAAAGCTTCCGCCGGACCCTGTTAGTTTCGTCTATCAGTTTATCAACGAACAAAGTCTTGGCATGGCAGGCGATCAGTGCACGCAAGCTGCTCACCAAGCACACCTGCCATCCCATGGACGGGGTCATCAGCATCCACCAACAGAGAAGGCCCCTGGGTACAGGCACGCGCTAAGGCAGCAGCAGCTGCGACAGAGGCCCGGCCCCTTGCATTACTTCCAGATACGAAGAGGACTCGTCGTTCACACAGAGCATCCGCGAAACGCGCGGCATCTTGTGTGTGGAGTTGTCGCAAGGCGCCTTGCGCGGCTTGCGCGGCAGCTCTTCTGGCAATCATGGCTCTCCATCCAAACGAGGTCATTGCCACTTGGCTGCTGCAATTGACGGATTCTGTGTTCGACAGAGGCATAGGGCTCCTTCTAGTGCTTAGCGGCTTGGCGATTGTAGTAGCACATCGGGTATGGGCTACGGAAAAATGCAATTCTATCCAATCGCTCCTAGCCAGGAGAGACCAGGTTTCAAAGGCACACGTGCTCTGTGTCCCAGGAGTCCCAGGAGTGCACATTCACACTTGCAACACAACCCACGTCACGATGTACAGAAAACGGAAGCGCGGGCTCCTTCAACTTGCCGTGCCACAACCACAGAGCACCCTCACAACACGCTGCAAAGTAGAAAAAGCTGGTGGCTTCTGGCGCTCCACCCCCGCCTTGTAGTTGGGGTGCACGAGCCATAGTAAGCACAAGGTCTTAAACTCAAGGTACCTGTCAGCAGCAAGGCTGCCAGACACGGCCGTGCTAGAAATCACCACAGAGAACATGATGCCGGCCACGTACTTGAAAAGCTAGGGCACAGCGGGAGATACTCAACGACGAGCGCCAGCAGCGTGCTCTCAAGCTGCAGGAAACTGGCAGGCCGAAGCAGCTTACACTTGCAAGTTGTACAGCATTCCGCTACCTGGCGCATATCAGCCAGTAGAACGTCCACTGCGTCAGTAGGTTGCTGGACGGCTTGTCCTACCACCAGAAAAAATATGCTTGTTGTGCCGCGTACAGTACATGGACTTGAGTTGACTTGATCAGCTATGAAAGCACGTGTCCACTGCCTGTATCAGCAGGCGCACCGTCTCGTAGCCAGGATAGCAGTACTGAAGGGCCAGTGCACACTCACAAATGCCTCGCATCTAAAGTACAGGCATGCACCGGCATGTATAAGCGCCCGAGCTCAACACTTGGGCGAGTGTTGACTCTCAGGGCAATGAGGTGAGACGATATGGAGTGGCACTCCAACTACAAGAAGCCGTCCCTGAGGACGCCAAACCGCATTCTGTCCTGCACGGCAAAGTTCGCGACCCCAATGTACGGTATCATCTCTGCCTGCCGCAGTGGACTTTTGGGTCAGGAACTCTCTTGAAGCTTGTGTGGCTGTCACGCCTGCTGAGGAAGTGTCTCCCACTACACCATGTACACTTGTTCTGGGCATAAACGACAGCGGAATGGGCGGAGTCACTTTGAAGCAAAAGGCGGTAAAAAAACCTACGATGCAGATGTGACAGCACCTATTTCGTTCTCGCCCGCTTCTGCAACTTCGACCTCTCTAGCTGGTCCGAAGTCCAACGTCTGACTGCGCATATGGGGGCTTCCGAAATTAGGGGTACCTTGTTGGGGTCCTTACTACAAGGGGATCCTGCTAGTTCAGGGTCTCTAATGGGCGTCCCTTCTTTTCGGAAACCCCCACATGGCATCCAGGCTGCTGCTCAGCATGGAAAGCGAGCTTTGCCGCGTTTTTTAGACCCGTCTTTGCGCAGGAGCTCGCAGCCTCGCAGACACTGGCACAGCATGGCACAGCGCCCTTGACAGCTCCCTCCTTCGATCTGCTCAAGGAGCTGCGCAGGAAGAATTACTCAAGGCTGCAGCCGCGGTGAGCTCCGTCGGCAACTTGGCGTGCAACCTGGCACGTGTTCCTTTGCTATCACGATCCGCGAGCAAGTGAGAGAACTCCCCTCCTGGTGCGAGGCTGTTCGATGCGGCGCCATAGCCAAGCACATTGAGAAAAGAGCTAGACGTGCCAAGAACGCTAACCTTTTTACCGACGACAGTCCCTTGTGCTGCCTGGGAGCTTTTATGACTAATGCACTCTGCAACTGCATATCTGAGACGCGGGCTTTCGGGCCACGAGGCGAGATATGTTCAGTACAACGCAGATGCATGTGGTCCTGCTTAACGGGCATGGCTTCGCGCGCGGACTCAGTAAGGGTAGCTTGCACAGAAACGTGTCGGGATGCTTCTCCCTGCTGCAGGTTTGGGGCGATCAAACACAAGTCGAGGTCGTTGCGCTTCTACATCACTTTGGAGACCTGTGTTTGCACGAACGTGCGTTCGAGCTGGGCATATTATTGCACTAGAAGGACCACGTGGCGGTTGTTCTCGTGGCTTCTGCTGATCTCCATCTTTGTGGCCTTGCTCTTCACTGCCCCCATTTCCAGGCTTGGGTGTCGCCGCTGCAACCGACTCCGCAGCAGCCTTGCCTGCGGCCTTGCGAAATCCTCCAAAGTTGCTATGTCTGGTAGTGGTGAGTTTGATTTTCTAGCCGGGCGACATGTGAGAGTGAATGATGGTGTTTGGCTTACTCCAATGGCCGCTATCTCGAAACACTGTCCAAGGAGTTGGGGACGGTCACCGTAGAGGACTCCGCTTGTTGTCCTGCTTCGTTGTGTTGCCGTTTCCTCGGCCACTGCAATCATTTTCTTCATCTCTTTCAACAGCGTAATGGTGGATAGCGTCGAAACTGCGGTGAGGCTATAATCCGCCTCACAACTTTTAATTTCGGCTTCCTTGACCTTTCGGTCCTTCGACAGCGAATCGACCATTTCCAAAGTTCTTCTTGCGCTTTCCTTCAAACTTTCGATGTTTCTGAGAAATTCAAGAGAAACAGAAGAGAAATTGCAGAGAAAGTAAAGAGAACCGGAAAGCCCCGACGAGGCTCGGGGACCTCAAAATTCAAGCGACACTGAAGAATAAACTAAAGAAATATTACAAAGAAATTGAAGAGGCCCGGGGACCTCAAGTACAGTACAGCACACACCAAAAACGGAAATTACTCGACCCATTGATGGGCCCTTTAGCACAGAGAGATCTCCGCAGAAGTGCATCCCCAGCCTTTCAAACCCCGCAGCCTGCAAGCCAGTTACAGAGGAAAAATCGATAAAAATCGGAGGGGTCCAACACTCAGCTTGCACTGGTAGCCTTGGCAACCATTCTTTTTGCCTAAATCCCACCTCAAACACGCGGCTTCAGTAAGATTCCCTAATGTGCCCTGCTTGGCACAGAGCATAATGCAATTCGGCTGGCCTTTCTGGCTAGGACAGTAGAAAAAACCGTCTGCGCTTAGAAGGATTGCGTGGAGTCTGCAAGTGTCCCGAGTGCTCGTGATCGGAACCGAAAACTCTGAAGTCGAATAGCTCAGGAACCCCAGCTACAGCTCCAGCCTTACTGTTGATCAGAAGCTGGTCGGCTATGGTATTTCAGTGAGCTTTTGCAGGGGAAACCCGTCTAAATACCCTGGACATGATTACCACCCCATTTGAGCAAACCGCCAAACGCAAAACTCCAGGCTCCTGGTAAAACAGCAATTGAGCCAGGGCTCACATTTTGTGCCTGCTGGGCTGGTCAAAGGGAGGCAAGACTAAGTACTAAGCTCTTGCTGAATGGAGTCACAGGTACTGCCGCAGTCCAGCACGCAAGCATCATCAGGAGGAGCTGCCACTCTTCCCAAATATGTACGAAGGGTACAGCCGAGTGTACATTAAAACCAAGATGATCCACATACAAGCTAAGGGAATGGCCTCAAAAAACTGATCGTCCCCGGTTGACAGTTTTACTGCCTCATAGGGTATCCAGTAAGCAGCTACAGAGCAGACAACTAGGCACTGAAGGGCGGGTACGGCAGCACACAGCGGAGCCCGAGACCAAACAGCGCCCTTCCTCCAGGCGCAGAAGGCTGTCCCAAACATTACCAGTGCCAGTGCCGGAAATTTACACCAGTCCAGCAGCCATTTCCCCATCCCCCTACCCCTGGACTCTTTGAGTCCCATAGAGACATACTGAGGCAGCTGGGCCAATGGCGCTGCACAAAACATTGCGAACACATAGCGCAGAGTTGGAGCCCCCGAACCCAAAGTCCGAAGAACAGATGCGCTCAGCTGTTCCCGCACCAGGGCATCGAAACCTTCAAACTGTGCTTGGCGCTTGCGGTTGCACTGTGTAATTTAGGGTTCCGAGAAGGTGCAATTAAACCACAACGAGAACCTGATTGTTGACTCCAGTGAACTCTTCCTTCCCCTCCACCAAAACATTCCGAAGCCACTCTCAAAAGCGAAGAACTCTCAAAACCTTTCAGCAAAAGCGAGAGACGATCCAAGTGTGTGTCTGGATCGCCTGTTCGGGTGTACCATCTTCGAAGCGTTTGGAATACCAGTGTTCGATCACAAAATATGGCCTCACCTGTCACTGGGTTCATGTGGTTCCTTGGATGCACGAAGATTCCCCGACCCCAGTGGTGCGTATCCTTTTGGATCCAATCCAAGGGGTATGATTTCAATATTCTTGGAGCCCAAGAAACCGCACTGCTGCAGATGCTAGTATCCAGAGGAATTGCTAGATCATCAATCCCGAAAACTTGAACATGTCTTTCCCAACAGCCAAGGCGCATAGCGCAGCAGGAGCAATCAGCTTCCCTTATGCTGAAAGACGTCATCTGTGACTTGAGCTTCAGCACTTCTCTCATGTGTAATATGCCAAAGTAGAATTGCGCTGGTATGGCAAGGAGAAAAGCCGGAAGGAGGAATGCCAGAACCGTAGCAATCACTCCGACAGCACCCTGAAATCCCAGAGTGACGTTGTCTGTTTCGATATACACATAGAACTGAAATATCCACCACAAGAAAGCCTCCAAGAGAGCTACCGACCACAACAGCATAGCCATGGATACGGGCACAAATTCCACAGGCTTCACTTCCTCATCCTTAAGCCAGGAAGCAATTTCGAATGTACACCATAAGCGAGAGAAGTATCGCGGACTCCAAAGAACGACTAGTCTCTGGGACTTGGCCAGGAAAGCCGCCAAGCCCAGTACTCCCCGGCGCTTCAAGTCCTCGTCATGCTGGGCTATGCACAAACGATCCAAAAAGACCAGTATAGATCTACAGCAAAAACAGCGCCGAATACGCTGCCAGAAGCAAAGCACCAAGTAAAACACACAATATGTTGACGCGCTTGCAGTGGGCCAACCACCAGGGAGACAATCCAACAAAAGCAGTCCACACATCATGATGTTCAGGAGCAATGCGGCAAGTGCTGCATAAGTGGAATTGAAAGCAATCAGAAGAGCCACCGTCTTTGAAAACCTGGATGTCCTCCAATCGTGGCTTATGAAAGCAGCAATCTGATTTGTGTGCTGGCTCAGCTCGAAACCCGTCTTGGCTAAAACTGCAGAGCGTTGCCCTGTCCCGAAGTGCAGGCCGAAATTCTGCAAGCACATCTCCAGGGGCACACCTCGGATTAAGTCAAGCGTGATGTCTGAAGCCAGGGATGTCACGGAAAGCCGTCGTGTCGGGGACACATCCACGTCATCCACGTCAATGTTGGGTATAGGCTGCGGTTCTGGACGCCAGGGGGCCATGAGCAGCACATCAATCAAGCCATGCGAGGGGGTCCTTATAAGGGGGATTCTACTATATCGGTCTTTCTTGGACCCCCTATGGAAACTCCCACATATATCCACTTTCAATACACAACTCGTACAAACGCCATTGAAGAGGGATCCCTGAGCTCGACCCAACAGCATCCTCAAACCTTCGAGGCTCAAAGCTGAGCTGAAGGCTCCAAATAACATGGTTGCATTGAGAAAAAACAAGTGCATTGGGACCCCATGGATATGTCAACGAGGGGCACCCCTGCGTAACGCATTGGCCTTAGAACCTAGTTTATGGCACGTACAAGCCCCACGTAGGGCCCTAATAACTAGCCCTGAAACCAGGACGCCCCTTGTTGCAAGGGGTGTGATGTGGCAAGGGGCGCCCTATAAACCCTAAGCCTTAAACCCCTAAAGGCGAAGAAGGCCCATCTTGGGAAGCTTGCATCTAAGATCGGTTCCTTATAGGTTTGGCTCATTTTAGTAGTAGTAGTAGTAGTAGTAGTAGTAGTAGTAGTAGTAGTAGTAGTAGTAGTAGTAGTAGTAGTAGTAGTAGTAGTAGTAGTAGTAGTCGTAGTAGTAGTAGTAGTAGTAGTAGTAGTAGTAGTAGTAGTAGTAGTAGTAGTAGTAGTAGTACTCGTGATAGTCGTAATAGAAATAGTAGTAGTAGTAGTAGTAG